AACTATGGCAATAACATTTAATTTGAATTAATAGTTTGCTATTTCATATAATTTTCCCTTAAAAAAATAGTTATTTTTATTTTATTTTACTCAGTTTTAAATGTTTTTAAAATAAAATTAACTTAATCTTGAGTTTAATTTATTGAAGGGAGATTAGAATAAATAATAAAAAATAAATTGCCAAATGATATGTCGCAATAATAATTTGGCCTCAGAATATTAAATTGTCCTTTACCAAAAAAGAATGTTGTTTGTATAGATATCGCACTTCCTATTTCTATGCCATTACATGATTATGTTTTATTATACTACATATGTATCTTTATTTGAAATTTTAACACGTCATCCTATAATAAGATAAAAAGAAAAATGACAAATATACTTCGAACTATTATAAATGATATGTAGATACCTTTTATCATACTTTTGGGATATTGGTTCCAATGTCCCAAAAATATGACGGAGGATATCTGCATACTATTTACGATAGTTTGGGATACATTTGTACTTTTTCCCTAAGATAAATACTCTATGAAATGTATGATTCTCAATAGTAATTAAGATTAAGTCCATCGATATATTGTACATGACAGATTAAGAGAGCCATCTTACGGAGCAGACCTTTTTCTGACGTGATCATCTCATTTTTCTTTATCTTAAACAGCTCGACTATTGATTAAATGGAGTAATTCAATTGCTCCCTTTGTTTCAATTGATGTGACTTACTTTTCTTTTTAATCAATTAAAAAAAATGATACATTTATATATTAAGTAACAATTTAATTATAAAATATCTATTTTATCCTTAATGGAATGATTTACAGTCACACAAATTTCTATTATTCATTTTGAACCACAAATTTTAAAAATCTTCATTTTTTTCTTAAATTTCGTGCTGAATCAAATTACTTTACATAAAATGGGACAGAGGGAGTAGTATATATAGTTAGGTCACTTGGGTTCACCTTGATAGGTACTTTATTCATTATTTACAGCAAACAAGAGTACTTTAAGGTGATTGATTGTAGGCTACTATCAGTAA